GGACAGAGATGGATGGATGGATGGATGGAGCGACGGGGGGCTGGCGAGGGGAGGATGCGAGAGGCACGCCGGGTTGCCAGCTCGCCAGCGCAACCTTTCTGCAAAAAAAAAAAGCAGGTTTTGAGGGGGTTTTCTCATTATTTCTTGCGCGCGAATGGCAAGAGGGAGGTTAGGACTGAAGGTCACAACAGCTCTGAACTGGTGCAAGTCTAGAAGGACCGGGAAAGGAGAGCCAGCTACCTCCGTGCCCGCCTGGACAGCGATGTCCAGGGGCATCCCGGTTAAGACACCAGCGGAAAATTTTACGGAAGGCAAGGAGGGTTTGGAGACCGAAACACCCCATTACCTCCCAAACTCCTAGGTCTGACAGCACACCCCTTCTTCAGGACAGACGCCGGTCTGCCTCGCAGAGCTGGTCACTCCTCCTACCCCCCACGGGTGTCCACAGCCACCCAAGGTGCGATTCAGCCCCTCAGCCCCAACCGGGCGGCCTCAGACTCTGTGAGCACGTTCACCAAACCGGCAACACGACTGCACTAGGCTTGTCTGGAAGATAAGGAGCGGCTTTTGAGGCCAAGAGGATCAAACAGAATCATAGAATCACAGAATCATTAAGGTTGGAAAAGGCCTCCAAGATCATCGAGTCCAACCGTCGACCCAACACCCCCAGGCCCACTAAACCATGTCCCTCAGCGCCTCATCTGCACGTCTTTTAAATACTTCCAGGGATGGGGACTCCACCACTTCCCTGGGCAGCCTGTTCCAATGTTTAACCACTCTTTCAGTAAAGACGTTTTTCCTCACGTCCAACCTAAACCTCCCCTGGCCCAACTTGAGGCCGTTTCCTCTCGTCCTAGTCGTAGTCACCTGCAGGCTGGATCTGGCCCGTGGAGCACAAACGTGATCGCCCTGGTTCAGACCAAGGGTCCACGGCTGCTCGGACTTTTGGCTAAGTAAATAATTCTTAGCATTTTAATATTAGATACCCCCTTGGTTGGACTGGAGTTGATGTCTGGTGGTTGGTTGACACCGGGAGATGGACTAGGTGTTTCCTCAGTCCGCTGCAGGCACCAGCTTGGTGCAGCGATGCTCCCCGGAGCGGCGTGCGAAGCAGCAGCCACAGGAGGAGGCTCAGGGATGAGCGAGTCCCATCAGGGGGACCTCCCTGCCGTATTCCGCTGACCCCCAGCTACCTTCAGCTCTGGGGACCTCCTGCGCCTGCCGTGGCGTGTATCCTCCACGGTCTCACTTCCAAGTGCCTGTCCAGCCTCCCCCGGAGCCCAGGCAAGTGCCACGAACCTTTGAGGAAAGCCCGTGCTGAGCACAGCCGACGGAAAACAGACTCCCACTGTATTTGCACCCCGAAACATTCCGAAGCGACCACTAATAGATGTGAAATACCGGTGCAGGCGGGTAGGGTGGCTGATCTGCTTCGGTTCAGGCAGTGGCTAAAGGGGGCAGGGAGAGGAGGAGGTATTTTGTGGGCCCTGTTCTGAATTTTGATCTGCGGGGGCTTCAGGTCTCACCCAGGTCTTGTAAGGGATGAACCCAGCTCCTACTTCAGCACGTTCGTAAGGATGCATGCCAACGGGACACGGGGACACGTGAGGAAAGCATTACTGAGCCTTGCCTCCCAGCTCGCCTTAAACAGGCTCCGGCAACGGTGGGGGAGCAGGCGCTGCCCAAGGGCACGGCTCTTCCCCACGAGACCAGAACAAGCGCTCCTGGGGGACAGCAGCGCCGGGATCCCCATGCCCAGACTGCTGACTCTGCCCCCGAACCAAACCCGAGCCCCCCCCCCGCCCCAGGAAACCAAAAGCATCCGAGCTCGCTCTGCTCCGCCAGCCCTCTGGGTGCACCACCACGTGCTGCTTCCCACCGAGCGCCGGGGACGGACTCGGACCCCAGCTGGAGCCAGGAAGGGACCGTGGGACATGAGATGCTCCGGACCACGGCTTGGACACAATTTGGCAGCTGGCTCCAGCAAAACGACGTGGTGCAAGGCTCCCGAGCGGAGCACAGACCTCACCAGATCGCAGTTTGCGCCCCGGGAGCCAACCGCAGAGGCACTGCGATACACCGAATTCCCAGCTCCTACTTCAGGGGCGGAGGGACAGACTCACATCTCAGCCTTCCCGATTTATCTGCGTCATTTAAACACGGCCTGATCTACAGCTCTTAAAAAGAGTTATTCTTGCCCTACGGATTCGGTGCACGTTGTAAAGCGTTTTGTGAGATTTTTGTAAGAAACGACATAAACTAAAAGGGTTCGGCGTCGTAAACGACGGGGAGGCTCTGCCCAGCAAGGTCCCTGCCAGCGTGCTTTTCGAACGGCGCGCGGCAGCTGCCAGACGCCAGCGAGACCGAAGATGCGGCGCGTTATGTTTGATGGAAGCAGGGCACGAAACGGGCAAGACGCCCAAGAATGATAACCTACGTTGTTTTTAAGGCAGCAGAGGAAAATAGCAGCATCGGAGGTAGAATGAAGGACGGAGGGAAATCGGAGATCGGCAGCTCGGCCGCGCTTTTAAAATAAAGCTCTTTAAACGCCGCTGCACAAGTGGCGCGGCAAAGCTCTGCGTTCGCTGCCTTTCAGCGGCTTCCGCAGCGAACACAGGAATAAAACCGCATCTCCTCCCTTTGTGACTGACGGCCATCTCCAAAACGCCGCCTGGGACTGAGCCTCTGCCCTCGTCCCTCAGCCCCGGGCTCTCAGCTGCCCGAGCCTCCCCGGACCGGGGCACGGGATGGCACCGTGGGGAGCTGTGGGTCTGTTTTCTCCCCGGAGCTGGCAGGAGAGCACGACAGTAACCTTTATAAATGGGGAAATCTGAGTTCAACCGGAGAAGGAAAGACAGTCAGCCCACTAAACCCTCTGCTTGATGGGGTATGGGAAAAGAAAGGATGCCTAAGAAAAGGCCGTGGCACACGAAGTGGCCTTCCTGCAGGAGCAGGGAGAGTAAACGGACAGGGGAAATATTTAATAAATATTTCCATTTTGCATGTAAAAAGATTTGCATGCGAAAACATTTACCAACTATTTCCATTTTGCATGTAAAAAGAAGCTGAGTATCACAGCCTACGGACTGGCGGCGAAATGCTGCCTCTGCCAGCAGGAGACGTGGTGGGAAGACGTGAAATAGCAGTGGCTCAAGTGAAATATTCCAGCAGCCGGATCGTACAGCTGCCCTGAGGAGCCTCACGTGAATTTGCCACCAAGCTCCCAGAGTTGCCCCTGTGGCTGAGAAGACCCGCGTGCAGCCGAGCTCCTCTGAGCCTGTGTCTGTATTTGAGGAGACCCCGGTAGGGTGGAAGCCGACAGGTCTGGTGGGGATTAGGAACGCAGGTACGAAGCCTCAAGTGAGCCTGAAAACTGCAAGAAAAAAATCAATCTACCGAGGTTAACAGCGAGAGGTTTGGGGATTGACTTGACCACGGCCATTAAGTATCTCCACGAGAAAGCAGACGACTCGCTCATCCAGCAGACAAAATTAACATGCTCCAGGGGCTGGATGAATTCAAACGAGAAATAAGGCAGAACGTTTTCTAATAATGAGGGTGATTAACCATCGCCGCGACTTACAAAGAGGAGGGTGACCGAACCCCTAATCCCTGTGGAGTCTGCAGGGAAAGATGCGGGGTCTTCCTGAAAGGTGGTGGTAGCTCAGCCAGAAGATGAAGGCTTGCATCGCTGCGCTACGCAGAGGGTCAGCCCCAAGAGCCGAAAAGGCCCAATTTAACCTTAAAATCCAGGGGCGCACCCACCCAGCGAAACGGGACTGAGCGCGGGGATCGTGAAGCTAGTGGGGACTCGAGCCCCAGCGCCACGAGGACTTGCCATTTTATGCCTGGGCGCAACGGAGATGCGTCACCCCCTGCCTTAGCCACGCTAATAAGCCCCGACTCCCGTCAAGGCTTAATTAGCTCGGGCGCAGAGCCAGGCTGCAGGACTGGCCTGCGTCCGGCTCTGCCTCACCCTGCCTGGGTGTCTCTGCTCGGCCCCACGGACCGGCTCGGGCTGCGGCCGGCGGTGCGGCTCTGTTCTCTCGGAAAC